TAAACATTCTGTAAAAACCATCCTTCTAGAAACACAATTTTAAAGAAGGAAATAAATGTGTCTCTTTCATAGGACAGGAGCTTAGGCAATGTATTTTATCCCCTACCTTACACACCTTTATAGAAGACCTCATCCTATTTATCTGAGGAGTGGTTCAAAGACTGTGCTGGAGCTTGGGTATCTCTTTTAGGATAAATCTGATTCCCTCATAGCTACAATATACATTTCAGTCCCGGCAGGAGAGTTATGAAAAAAATGGAAAGTGAGAAACGATAATTTTTTTGTTTTTATTTATTTATTTATTTTATTGTGAAATACTGTGCAGAGGGGTTACAATACATGGGCAAGATAGTGAATACATTTCTTATCAAGCATTGTAGCCTCCTCCTTTGTTTACCCTTCCCATCCCTTCCCATCCTCCCTCCCCCCACCCAATCCTCCCCTCCCCAAGTTGTAAAGTTCGTTTTTGACACGACAACTTGTACTTCTCATTGACAACTTGTACTTCTCATTGTTGCAATGTGTCCACCTGTATCCTTATTTAAACGACTTGTTTTTCCCCTTCCCCTCCACAAATTATACCGACATCAAATACAGTGAAAGCAGGGGTTATACTGTGGGGGAGGGACATACAAAGCAACAAAGAAATAATTTTATTGCGTTAGAAACAAATGTATGAAAGAAAAAAAACATTTAAAATACATATCTTAGGGTTCATTTTCCTAATATCACCTTATCTGGCCTTTTCTGCTTGACTCATACATATACTAGATATTGCAAATAAGGGAAACCATGGGACCTATGTTTCTTTGGGCTTGGCTTACTTCACTTAATATAATTTTTTCCAAGTCTTTCCATTTCCTAACTTCCTAACAAATGGGGCAATGTCATTCTTATCAGTTTGTTTTTCATGATCCGAGAGTTCTCCCTCATTATCTCTAGTCTTATACATTGGAGTATCCAGATTTCTCAGGGTTAAAAAAAGTTTATCCTAAAAAAAATGTTAACCTAGGACCTAATAATGCCTCCCCAGTGATATCTTTACTGCAAAGTATTTCTTGAAGAATCAATTATGTTTCTCTTGGAAACCAAATTCTAAGACAGAAGGACTAGGTAACTGATTATGTAAGACTAGATATGCAAGATCCCAAAATATATACACCAACTAGAAAGCTTAAATAAATTTGAGGATTTTTTTCATGGTTGTTTTTATTTCTTCTGATTTTGAAGGGTCACTCTGACTGCCCTGGTTTAAAAAAAAGTTTGCTCCTATTTTTTCATAATTTTGTATAAAATTAAGAAATAGAATATCCTTAATCTGTAGATGGGATGTTATTTCTCTTTGCCACTTCCTATTCATGATTTCCAAAATGTCATGCTATAGCACCGAACAAAAGTCTGAGATAAAGCTCTGTTGTTATTTGTGATTTTAAATTTATCGATGGTTCTCCAATACCCTGATTCAAATATTACATTGATTCCTTCCCAGTAAGGCAGTAAATAAATTAAAACTGAGCAGCCATTCATTCCATTTACTTGTTCCTTGCCAGTTGCTAGTTAAACACTGATGCTAACTAGTCATTGCTTCTTCCTACTTGTCTCTTTCTAGTTGAGGCTAAACAAAACTGACACTAAACAGTTATTAGTCTTTATCTCTTCAGTCAGCTTATTCCCAGCTATTCTCTTCCACTTCTACCCTTCCCCCACTCCCTCAGAATGCTCTTGAACACAGCTTTGATCCTCTTTTCCTAACTCCACATTTAACTCTTTCAGTTTTCCCTATCTTCCATTGGAGTATGGAATGGGTTCTTGTCAATTGTTTCTCATTGTGTCTATAAAGTGTTTGCTCTCTGTAAGTAGTAAGACCACTGCTTTTTCATTTTATCCACTTTACCTTCATTTGTTAGTTTTTAAACATCAAGGCATAAACAGATCAGTGAAGAAATTATATCAGGGAAGATAATATCAAGTCTCAATCAGTGTCCTCTCCATCCCTCAGTCATCTGATTCCTTAGGGATAAAATAGTATTAAATCAGCTCAGGCAGTTACCACAGGCCCTTTTGGTGCATGCAATTTCTGAGCTAAAATCGTTGGGGATCTTGAGTCTCAACAATATCACCTGACCCACCAAAATGTTATCATAAGCTCCTAAAAAGGCCCATTTCCTGCCTTGCCAAACTTCATCTCTTCCTGTAAGGTAGAAAAGTTTATGAGCATGCAGAAAGGGTTCTTTTTCATTTTAAAGATGATTCATAGACTTTGTTTCCTTTGTTTCATTTGGTAGTTCCCACTCTCACCTCCTTATTCTATAAATAATAGGTTTATCTAACAACAAACCTTACTGGAATAACAGAATGAACTTTCTCTATCAGAAAAATTATTGTTTCCATAGATACTTTTGTTTCATTGTTTATGAAATACTACAAACTACCTTGATTCTTCATCTTTTCAAAGAATTCTGCTTATTAGGAGCTTGAGAAATGTGCTGTCTCTGCAGAACTTCCTCTTTTATTATTAGTTTGGATGCCATTTCTCTTTTTTTTTGGTCAGTCCTGGGACTTGAAGTCTCAGCTTTGGCACTGTCCCTGCACTCTTCAGCTCAAGGTGAGTGCTCTACTGCTTGAGCCACAGCGCCACTTTTGGTTTTCAAGTGGTTTATTGGAAATAAGAGTCTCACGGACTTTCCTGCCTGGGCTGGCTTTGAACCGCAATCCTCAGATCTCAGCTTCCTGAGTAGCTAGCATTACAGGTGTGAGCCACCGGTGCCCAGCGCCATTTCTCATCTTTTGAATTGGTCTTCTAATAAGATTTATAAGATTATCATTTTGTTTCTCACAATAGTATCTATCTTGTTTCAATTTTTAAAATAATGTACCTTTAACATCTGACTTTAGAAATGTGGTCTTCACAGTGAGTAGAGTCTTTACTAAAATACACACATAATGTTCCATCTTCATCAGTTGCCTTTTATATCAAAGTAAGAATGGTTGCTTTCTATCTCACAATAGAGTTTAAAGTGAGACATCATAGGATTGCTTAAGGAAGAAACCAATAAGCAGAGGTTTAAGAAAAATTACTGAAAGAATGGACTTACTGAGGAATCTGCTATCTACTTGGACTGTTGTATAATTATCTTGTTAGAATTCCTATTTTCATTTTATAAAATATAACTCATCAAAGATCATGATGAACTTTCTTGGCAAAGCTGTTCTGCGGTCTCAATAAAGATGCTCATTGTTCTGTCTTCTATAGAAAAACCTTATGGAGGTTAAAGATGAGTATTAATTAATACTTAACTTTCACTGCAGCTAGCATTAACAGTGAACCTTGGATGTATCATATTCATTTGTGTTTCTCAGATTGATAGAGACAGACTATGGGAATAGAAGTAGTCTTTTTGAAGAGCAGTAAGCTTTTGGGAAATACTTGATTCACCTTCCAAAAACCAGAAAAATCTGTAATACTTGTGATCATTTGTAGTGAAGTCTTAGAATCGTAGATGTTAGAACTTAAACAAAGTCTCACATTTGATTCCGTGATTTTATGGCTGAGAACTGTGAGCCAAGAAAAGATTAATAACTTTCACTAACATTTTACAAATAACAAAACTCAAATGCATTAAATTACAAACTCCCTTCTCCTAAAATAAAAATAAATACACAAAAACTCCTGGAGTGCAAGAACATTAACAAATTTTTTACTCTGGAAGAATTGCTCGTTGATAGAATACAAGGCCTTGGATTCAATCTGCATCACTGCACAAGTAAATACAAGCACAAGTAAATACAAATACAAGTAAAAACTTTGTATTTGGTTCAGGTCAGGAAAATTGTACTTTATAACCCTAAATAAGTATCTTAGCATGAAGTAATAATTTCCTGCAAGTGTGTATGTGCACACAGGTGTGCACATGTATATAGGTGTGATTTTGATGTGTTTGTTCCATGGGGAAAATTATATTTGTAATCTGTGTGGCATATAAACTCTCTGAGTTTTGCCAGATGAGAGTTATTATAATAAGGATTATTATTACATCCCCATGGCTCCTTTTTCTTTTACTAAGCCCACCTTCCTACAACCATCTGGAGAAGCTGATCACATGGAAGACATTTTATTTTTATATAGTCTTTATAAAACTAGTTTTAGTTCTTCATAAAATATTACATAATTATAAAATCTGAATATCAGAAGGAACATTAGTAAATAATCTCAAGTCTCCTGTGGAAAAATGCTTTAAAGTAAAAGCAAAGAAGACCTCCACATGCTTTAACAACTAACATAGCTTAGAGCCATTGAAATAAGTTATGTGGTATCTAGCCTAATTCCTTATTATTGCAATGAGATTGCATGACAGATTTGTGTCTCCTGTGAAAAAATTATTTAACAAATTGTTATAGGGTGGTGTTGACCATAAAAATGGTTTCCTTAGGATCTTGAAACTACCAACTATATTCTTTGAAAACATACATCTTCGCTTCTCCTGAAATTTTTAATAGAATATAATTATTGTGAGATGAAAGAAAATGAATGATATCAAAATTAATTAATGCCAACTGTGGGACTGATTTGCCTTGAAGGGTAAATAGGGAAACACGTTTTCTCACACAATCTGTAGTTTTGCTTGCTACTGGCTCACCAGAAATTATCACAGTGGTGTAAGGGGCTTGAAGGGCACAAAACTACAGTTGACAAAAGAGATGTTCTTAAGTTCAGTTACAAAACATAACCCAACTATAACTACAATCTTCATAATATTCCTTTTCTGAAAGAAAATTTATGTTAATCATACTGATTATATATTTCTAGCAATATTGAACTGCTCCTTTGTTATTTAGGAAACTGCCTTGAGAAATAAATTCCATAATTCCATGTTCCAGGGACAGCACACTTGAAGATGGAGGGCCTAAAGAAAGAATTCAAATGAGAAGCTGCACGGCACTCAGGCAAAATCTGGTTGGAGAGGAAATCTGTTCCCATGATTATTGAGCTTCCCTTGCTAGCCTGTAGGTGGGTGTGTTTAACAGAAGGAAGCAATGGGAACTTGCCTGTCAGCCAGCCTTTCGAGCTAATTAGCTCAGCATACAACAAAGATAAGTAAGCCTGAGAGGAGGGCCCCCTAAGGGGTCTTTAGATTCTGGGAAATGTCTGATTGGCAGATGTTAAAAGGGATTCTTTGGTAATCCAGTGCATCAATGAGCTGCACAAATTCAGTTCAGAACTGCAAGAATTCAGGCATGAGGACACTTTGTACAGCAGGCTCACACAGGCAGACCCGAGATGGACAGGACCTTGGAATCTCTGAGACACATCATTGCCCAAGTCTTGCCTCACAGAGACCCGGCTGTAGTCTTCAAAGACTGTAAGTATTGAAGGGGAAAAAGTTTTTTTTTTTTCCTTGTTGGAAAATAGTCTTAAACGTCTAGTCACATCCTATTGAACTGTGATTTCTTCTAAATCTCTGTAGTCGTGTGCTGTGGTCTAAGTGATAGTTAACTTGTTCCTGACTTCAGTCAGAGGAATGATTTCATTTTACCTTCAAGCATAAGTGAAAAAAAACCTCTGAGTTATGTTGAAGCAAGATTTCTTGCTGTTTATAAGTCCCTTCTTCTAAAATCTAAAACCAATCAAGTCTTAATGAACTTTTCCAGATGCTTTTTTAAATAAAGCAAGGCTGACTGGAACTGAGATTAGAACGAAAACTCACTTGTAAGAGACAATAAAATATATCTACATGTTAACCTGTTTAATCTTTGACAATATGTCTTAGTGAAGTGAAATTGAGATTTTTATTTAAAAAACTGGGGCTTGAACAAAATTTATAAATTACCACTGAGCTCTTAAATTTTGACAACAAATTACAATACTCTCGTTAAAAGCACAATAAAATGAGAAACCTCTCAAAGTCAGCAGCACACACTGACCAACCCTCCCCCCCCCCAAGTATGGCAACGTTATTTCAAAATCTTTTTTAAAGATGATTATGGAAAATAATTCAATCAAGCTTTCCAATTCCAGCAATACTAGTAAACCATTTGTCATGTAACTTCGTTTCTGGAACCAATTTGATTTCCTGCTGCTGCAAAACAGACTCTCCTCACTTATATCTTATCTACAGTGGGTTTCATATTACAAAGGGCTTCTGAAATAGAACTTTGCTTTGGAACTGCCCAAAAGGTAAAATGCATATGGATTCTTTTTTCTAACTTCAATAGGTTACAGCTTTTCTCCTTGTGAATCTAGTTATGTTTGTCTCCATCAAAACATCAATGGTTTGGATTTTTGCTTTCTGATTACTGTTCCTTTCCAGATGTCCTTCTAGTTTATATTTCTCATATGTGAGAGGAAGAAAGAGAAATGTTGGGCCATTCTATTCCATAAATTTTTCCTCTTAGAAATTAAATTGTAACCAATCTACCCTCCAAGGCATAAAGTGAAAAATCTTTTCTTTCTTTCCTCTTTTTAAAAATATTGTCTTCAACCATTAGTCAGTATCTATAGTAGAGTCCTTATAAAAATCACTCCATCTTCCAGCCCAGCCTGGAGTCTATTCAGGCTTGGTATGTTTCTTTAAATGAAAAGACAAGGAAAGAATGTCTCTCTACTACAATAGCATTGAATTCCTCTTGATAGATAAAAGGGCTCTAGGGTTTCCCAAAGCTTTGGATAAACTGTATGGAACTTATGCTGAGGGTTTGGAGAGTTTCTACTCTCCAACAAAACGAAATAGCAGGAAGAAGTTTGAGATTACATGACCCACTCTTTAACCTGAACTCAATTCCTGGAATGCTTACAGTTTATAAGAGAGAATAGAATTTTTAATGGGGTAATAATAAAGCATACATTAAACTCTGTCACCTGGACCTTTGCAGGAATTCTTTCATATTGAAAGACAAAAAGTGCCCTGTTTTATATATTTCATTTATTAATATAAAAATTAAATATGACTACACAACATTTCTGCTTACCCTAGAATACACTGTCACTGCCAACTGCTTGCCTAGCTTAGTGGATGTGAACGTTAAACTTCTGGTCCTCGTTCCTCTGGTTTTTCTAATCAGAAAAATTAAGTCAGATGGCAAATTTCTATATAGGAGTTTTCATGGCACTGGAGAATTCAAACATTCACAATCCAGGTGGAGGGAGTGGGAATGGATTTGCTTTCTGGTGTAGGACATCAAAGGTTTATGGGGGGGGAGGGAGGGAGGGGAGGAGCTAAATCACGCCTAGGCAATGCTGCCTTCATGGGGCAGTTTGGCCTGTGGGCCTTTTTTTCTTTGGCATACCAATAAGTGGCTGCCACCATACTTCTGCTGACAGCCTGTTAAAAGCTGCCCTAGTTTTGAATGGCAAGTTCTCAGTAGTCTCTTGGCCTTCTGCTCATTCCCTGGCTCCTCCCTTGCTACACTCCTCCTCCAATCTCTTTCTGCCAGAAGGAAGTGATTGAGTACAGGAACATATCACTGCCAATTACTTAAGCAAAATTGCTACCTTGCTTTTCTACAAGATGAAAAGCTAATCCAAAAAAATTTCAAGCTCAGCCCTATTGAACAAAGGAGCATTATTAAAAAAAAAAAAAAAAAAGGAAAGGTGTGCAAGCTTTTCTGAATTTTTTTTCTGTGAATGCAAAAGCATCTTCTTCTCACTTTACTCTTTGTATACACACACTGCAGAGAGTGGAAATAGTCACTGATTATTTTTTTCTCCTCAGTTACCTTACCTTTTGATTTGCTTACAAACAAGAGTGACTGAGTTTTCTTTTCAAGTTGGTCAGAAAAAGGCACTCAGAGGTTTTTTGTTTTGTTTTGTTTTATTGGTCTTAGACAGATGCATGTGCGAATAGTTATATTAATTTAAGGAAATAAACATTGAATGTTTTTCTCAGCCAAGGGGCCCTTGCTTCAAATGACATATTACAATATATGAGTCTGTCATTTTATTTTAGACAAGGTGTTCATCTGGCAATTGTTGTGATTGCTTTTTATTTTCTCTTGAAAGGAAATGACTTCCATAACACTTTTTCTTCACGTTTTTTTCTTAATTCACTTACCAAGTGAAAAAATGATTAAAAGAGTTTCTAAATATGGTGAGATCCTACTTGAAGTTTGTTTCTATAGGGTAACACAGTGGACATTCTCCACTACATAACTGTCTCTGCTTCAGAAGAGTAGTACTGGATAGCTCCACACTATCAGACAGAATCTCTTTGCAATGAAAGTATGGCACATTTTTATGATGCCACCTTTTATTTTATTTTTTTTTGCTGGTGGTAGGACTTGAACTCAGGGCCTAGGTGCTATCCCTGAGCCTCTTTGTGCTCAAAACTAACGTTCTACAACTTGAACCACAGCCCCACTTCCAGCTTTTTTTGAGTAGTTAATTGGAGATAAGTCTCACGGGGACTTTACTGCCTAGTCTGGCTACTCAGCCTCCTGAGTCACTAGGATTATAGTCATGAGCCACTAGTGCCTGACTTTGCCATCTATTCTTGGCTTTGTGAAACATCTCATTTCTTTTTCTTGTGTGATTTGCCACAGCAAAAGATAAACTGTCATAAAAACAGCTCCTATCTTCTCCTTCTAGGGACTGTGTGAACTTGTCATTTGCCCCTGTTTGACAGTACTTGAATGCTCTTTCTGAAGAAGCAACAATACTATTTCAAAATGTCTGCACTTCCGGATCCACAAGACACTTACCTCGCGTTTTTGGGCTCTTCTTTTACCCATTTACTTGTGAGAATAAGACATTAAGTCTGCATCATGTGATAGGCACCGTCCTAGAACCTTTGATTTTTCACAGCAAGATGATAGGTAATACTGTTACAGCAAAGTAGATATTATTGGTATTTAGAGATGAGAGAATTGATATTAATGGCAGTTAAGGTAGTTTCTCAAGGCCACACAACAAGTAAATAATGGAGGCAAGGTATAAATTCTGGCTTCACCTCCTTGCTTTTAGTAACTACAAGATGGTGCCTCTTAGAGTTGCGGGCCATGCTGTAAGTCTTGTAATGGCTGAAGCTGTTAGGGAAATGAAAGAAATGGACTCTCTTAGGTGTAGAGAGGAACCCATTAAGCAGTCACCTCTGAGCAGTGTGTGAGAGGAAAGCGCAAAGGGGAATGGTATTTTGAGGAAGGGAACTAATCTGTTCCATGGCAGATAAGAAACACACATTGGGGAAGTCAGAAGGGCAGAGAAGGCAGTTTGACTGTTGCTAACATGCAGGCAGGCAGGAGCCACTGAGGTTAGCCATGCTCTTACCTTAGTTCTGTAAATTTATGTCCTTATGTGCATTAGGGGCACGTTTATATTGACATCTGTTGGAGGTAACTTAGGTGTACTCCTAAGTTAAGGAGAATTGCCGTTTTTTTTCTTAGCAAGAATCATTTGCCAACTCTGGCAAGATGTAAGATTTGTAAATACCAAACATACCTGTGTGGAGAGACCATTCTCACTGACTAAAGGCCAAAATCAAGAAAAACTGACTCAGATTGTTTAAACGTTATCTTGATTGCCATTGCTGTGTTGGTTACTAAGTTGACTTTACAAAGTCAACTTTACAAAGTGAAATGTTAGATTACATTAATATTTTCTCCAAATTTTATAATCAGAAAGTAGGATGGAACCCTTACTAAATATTACTCAGGTGGAAGTAAATTTCTCTTTTATTTGGGGAAATATTTTTTTCTGTACAAGAAGTTTTGTAGGGCTGCGAAGGTGGCTCAGTGGTAGAGCGCTTGCCTTGCATGCATAAGGCCCTGGGTTCGATTCCTCAGCACCACATAAGCAGGAAAAAAAAGCCAGAAGTGGCGCTGTGGCTCAAGTGGTAGAGTGCTAGCCTTGAGCTGAAGAGCTGAGGGACAGTGCCCAGGCCCAGAGTTCAGGCCCCACGACCGGACCCCCCCCCCAAAAAAAATAAGTTTTGTATATAGACACATGTATCATATAGGTGACTCTTCAAAGAGCATATTTTTACACTTTGAAAAAAAAACTGGACCAACTATATAAGGCTATTAAAAATCTCTTATTAGTCACAAACTTAGTTATATGTGGCCTGAGCACAAGAATCCTCGAGTCAAGTACTTTTTTAAATCCATGCTTTTTAAGGTATCTATAAATTTGATGATACATTTATAGTTTTCACATTTCAAGAAAAGAATGGAATAGGATATAAGGGATGAAATTCCTTGTGCTTTAAAATCCTACATATATTGCATTGCATTCCATTCAATAAATTAAACAACCAAAAGAAAAGAGTAAAAAATCCTCCATTCTTTTTTGAACTCATTTTAGAATAATGACCACATCTTAATTACAGTAAATTAAACTCTCATGATTTTACCATTAAACTAGCAGTGCCTG